TTTTAAAAAAAAAGAACATATAAACATTTATCAGAAATATTTATATTGTATAGAAACAATAACTGGGATTTTACAAAACTTAAAATTTCTGTTATAACTAAAACACTCTCATATTTTACTAATACCCTGAGTATAATGGGTATATGCTTTTGACAGGCATCTTGTCCAACTGTAAGGTAAAGATTAAAGGAGTCCTTGCGAGTTTTACTCCACTAGTCATAGTTGATTTTAGGGGACGGTACTCATCTATGTTTCTAGGCCTTTGAGCCAGTGCTGTCCAAAAATGTTTCCGCAGTCATGTGGCCAGCATGACATGATGTCACAGAGCAGAGTATGTAGTGAAACACAAAACACTATTACTTCTCACCAGAGTACCTATTTATCTATTCACATTTACATGCTTTCGAACTGCTAGATTGGCAGGAGCTGAGGCGAATAATGGGAGCTCACTCCGTCACATGACACTTGGATCTCAAACCTAGGCTGTTAGCTTTCCAGCTGACAAGCCCAGCATCTTAACTGCTGAACCATTGCATCTCTCCAACTGTAAAGAAATTTAAAATACTGTTGTTCTAAAGATAATAGCACAACAAAAATTTTGTATTCCTCTGGATTCAAGTCAATTAGGATTTGAAACATAACCAAGCAATACCATCCAGTAAATAACTCCTATATGCTGGTAACAATCACTGTACCCGTGACAAAATTGATGCCAATTGGGCCCAACTCCTAGCGACTATATGGATAAAAACCTTCCATCACAGCAATCCACAACTTTTTCAGGTATATTTCATTGATATATTCACATATTTCATTTACATCTCATGATCAAAGTATGTGATCATTTGGCTTGCTAATCACTGCTTTAAAGAAGCAATATATTTTTCTTGCAATACATGGTTCTATTATTGATTTTTCCAAAATCTTTAATTCAAATTCAAATGTTTTTGTTTTCACTTTTATCCCAATATACAGGTTCATAACCCTACACTACCACTGAGAAAACTATGGCTTTAACTATTCTGATCCTTGTTGTCATAGAAATATCCTTCACCCTTATCTAAATTTGTCACTGCCTTTCTCCCTTGGATTAATCTCCTCTTTACTTCTCTAGCATGCTGTCTATCTTTATCTATTACTGAGTCTCAGAAAACAAAACAATATACCACCTTCACTTCTTCATTGTCAAATGCAAATTCCCTAAGCAGGCTGGTTAAGATTCATTTAGTTTTCTTATTAAATATTAACCCACATTTTTCACTATCTATTTTTGCTTTTCTAAGAGTAGTTCCTGAGCTGTTCCTTTCACCAAGTAAGCGAAAATCTAGTCTTCTAAATCTTTGCTTTCAGTTAAGCATATTGTGCTGCATATTTTCAATTCTTAATATTTGACTTCTAATTCTGAATCTACTTGTCACCACTTAAAATTTTACTATGCTTATATTCATTGTAAAGTTAAACAAATAGGGTAACATTGATATTTATCTCATTCTCTTTCCTATTCTGTACCCTTCTATTTCTCCAAATCTAATCTTCACAGTATCTTCTTTTTCATTGTAATGGCAGGTGGTGCTTAACTATGTTTTAAGTTAAAAAAAAAACTCTGTATGATATTGATCATATTAAACAACTGAAGCTAAAAAGCTACCAAAGCCTTTATGACAATGATTGAAAAAATGTCCACATATGACATCTATATAATTTGTTTTACTTAATATATATTCACAGTATAAGAAAATAGAAAACCAGATTTGGGGAGGGGATAAATGCAAAAGAATATAGAGATTCAACTGAAATATTTCCTAGAAAAGGAAATTCTGAATCAACACTGACCAATGCACTTCATCATTATTATCAGGACATACTATTGCCAAGGGATTTATAAAAATCCCACTCAGCAAATAATTGCCTTGCTGTTAGGAGATAGTCAAGAGTGTTAACATACTGTCATAGACCAGAATTTAGTCAGATATTCAACATTCAATTACTCTTGCTGAGAACAGAAAAAAAGCATGATAGTTTTTCAAACCACTACAATTATGCCTCCACAAGAATTCCACTGAACATTCTTGCTAATCTCCAGCTAGAAAGGTAGGTTATAGCTGTAATTCTGATAAGAGATATGATAGAAGAATCATCAAAGATGGGGAAGGTCCTGATGTCAGCAGATCATGCCTATCTGACTAGAAGAAGATCAGAAGAAAAGAGACTGGCATTCTGCTGGTCTAAGTGATCACTAGTTAAGTGAAAATAAAGGGAAGGGATTTAGGGACAGCTGAGGCCTAAGTTAGAAGAAACTTAGCAAGAAAATCATTAACATAAAGAAGACCTGTTCTAGAGTTGTATATACATTTTAATGTAATCTTTTAACTTTACCAATATTCAAATGTAATGATAAACAAAATTAACAGTACTATAGGAAAATGGAGAAACATCAGATTTTTTTCAGTCAAAATCCAAGCAATCTGTTATCTATGGGAAAATTTCACATTTTACGTTTGTACCCAAAACTTAAGGATTGATCTAGGATTCTGATTAAATGCAACTTCGATATGTAATATTTATATTTAATGAACTTTTTGTCATGGTTATTACAATTATAATTTATATTTATATACAATATAAATTAGGAAAGACACATATATAACTCCAAACACAAGAAAAAGAAAGATTACATTAATTTTTCACTTTTGTTCATTCAAAGTCCAAACACTATATTTGAAGACACTTCTAAAGAAACAGTTGAACAAAAAGTTTATTAAAAGCTATGCTCATTTATGTTCAGCCAATGAAAACCTTAACTCTAAAGTGTAGTTTACCAATTAGAGTGTTTCCTGCTGTTTTTATTTTAAAATGGGTTATTTGTTTTCCCATATTTGATTTATCATAAAAATAAACTTTTTATGCAGTCATTGCCAAAATAATAAAATAGGAATAGTTTGTGAGGAAAAATGGTTCATATTTTTGCTAACAAAGTTTCTTTTGTTTCTAATAAAAACAAATAAAGAAAAAACACTAAGTAAATTCAAATTATCTTTTTCAAATCTTGTCAAATCAACAGAAATAAATATATATTTTTGTACTGTATGTATAGGTGATTTTTCAGTGCAATTATTTTGCACAAGGCAACCAGTAGGTGGAGCAGATAACATAATTTATGACTTGGGAAACATTGGCAAAGATTTTATAGCAGGTTTCTTCATAATTACAGGGATCATGAAGAAAGAATTTTCTTCAAACAAAGGAAGGCTTAAATGTGTTAGGTGTTACTTGACTAGTTATTGAAACCACAGATAAACGAAGAACGTTGATTAAAAGCTCAATATTTTATAAGTATCAAGTTTTAGAGCTTGTCATTTATTTCTCTAGGCATCATCCTCTTGTAATGTGAGTTTTAATCAAAGTACAATTCTGCTTCTATTTTTAACTTCTTTTCATGCTTATTTAATACCAGCTTTAAGCACACTGAAAAAGGAATGTAAAGGAATATAGAAAATCTGTATACTATAATGGATGCAAATAATTTCATTTTTTTTGAATAATATTTGCATTAACATGCTGTCCACGAGATCATAGTGAATGTGTAATACCTTTCAATTTTGCAAAAATAATTGGGCATGTGGGGGGAGGTTAAAAATTGAAATACCAGTTCTTAAGTAGTATCTCAATGAATACATTATATTTGCAGGCACGGTCATGGTTTTTGCATGCTTATTCCCCCAAAACCTAACAAATGAAAACTGCACTAAATTTGTTTCTGAACTTTTCTTCCAAACCATGTAAACCATTTATATTTAATTTCCACATTAACCTTAAGGATTATGATCTTCTGCCCTGAGTCCAGTTTTCCATTTTTTTCTATTATTTGAGGTTATTATATATTCTAGTTAAAGTTTTAAAACAACGTGACGTGTTTTTTTGCAGGGTGATTATTTTCACAGTACTCTTTCTGGCAGCATATGAATAATTCATTCTTAATAATATTCATGTACTAATTAGTCTTTTCTTCTGTTTCTTCACAAACAAACCTTGATTTCACTAAATTTACAATTAAAATAACTAATTTCTACTAATCAGTTCACTTTCCCATAATTAATTGCCATGCAGCTTATATAAACAAACTCCACCATTACTTATTCATGATTGATGTGACAGAGAGAAAAAAGAGGGTGAGACAATTTTGGTTATGAAAGCATTTGGCATTGTGATTGATCCTTGATTGTAGGAATGATACTTGTTAAGTAGCAAGTACACATGCTATTTATTATAACCTCCCCCCACTAATTCTCAATAATAAATTTACTTAATAAAGATTGAAATAATTGTGCTGCATTTCCTAAATATAAATAGGTGGTACCTACAAACATTAATTCCCACTGATGAGAAATCAGGATTAAAAAGAGGAATACTTCCCATATCAAACTACTTTTCAGAATTGAAACGTATTTCTGAGGGAGTAACTAAATTTGTCTGAATACTTTCAACAACAATAAAGAAGCAATGAAAGTAATTGTGCGGAGCCTAAAGAGTTCTCCGATAAGTTTTTAAAAGACATCTTAGACTTACAATTTAAGTCAAACACCACAATGAAGGAATGTAATTCCGATCTAAACTTCAGTTCAATTAAAAAATTTTAAAAATCAAATAGCTCTTTGGCTTAATAACTAGCTTTTGACAACTGAGATAACATAACAATAAGCCAGTCAAAATGAGTTTCTAAAGTGAGGTTGTGCCCTTCCTGTTGTGTTATCACAGTGGCAGATCAAACTGCTGACTTGGGCTCTTTCTGCCAGCCATGCTAATGCTGTCTCTATGAAGTTGCTGTCACACAGCAGTCATGGTACCTGCTCTTGCCTATAGAAATGCACTAAATTGAACTCGAAGTAGTGCCTTTGTGATATCTTTTCAACAAGTCATGTCCCATTCAGCCTGCTAGTTTATCTTTGTCAAGCTAGGGGTCCCAGTGGTTTGCATGAGCTGTCAGGGACAGGTACACCAACCTGCTGAGTGCTAAGGAGGTAATGCATCTTTCGAGCTAGGTAATCCTTTTTCTTTTTTTCCCTTTCAAGAGCTTTTTTCACCTCTTCTTTCTCCTTCATCTCTGCAAACTCTTCTAGTTCTTTCCTGCATCAAAACAATTTTGCATATTACTTGTTTTGGAAAAGTAGATGATTATAAAAATAAAAACAACCACCCTTTTTCATAGCCTTTCTCTCCCAGTGATGATTTGCTGATTTTGTTTATTGAAGACATCAACTTCAGAACCTGCTAAGTCGATTTAGCAATACAGACCTCATACTGTTAGAACAAAAGCAGGACAGCCGCATTCTATCAGTGTGCTGTATTGACTGACCTTTCTGTGTGATTCAGCTACATGTATGTTTTAGATGTTTAGCAAATGGAAGACTGGAGGGTCACAGATAATAGAGACATGAATATTTTTTATCCAGATTTAAAAAAAAGCTTCCTCAGAAACTAGATATAAGGATTCTAATTTCACTCATTCTGAAATATAAACTAATGTTCTAATTTTGGGGAAGAACTATGAAAAAGAAATAAAATATTCTATGCAATGTTAGAACTGGAAGGAATCATACAGTACTGGCATGTTTTTGGAAGGGTAAGCAGCATAACAACAGAGTACACTGATCTTAAAATGAAATAATTTAGAGGAGTATGCAACATATATATAGTAATGGTTATAGGCAATTTTTAGGGCTTACAAGCAAGGAAATATCTGACTCCTATTATTCAATAAATCTCTGTCCATTTTTCTGTGGTAGAAAAAAAGAAATAGAAGAAATAGAAGAAAGATAGGATAGAATTCTATGGGAATTTGACATTATAGCTAGTTTATAAATGAAGAAAATTTCAAATAGCAGGACTGAAAAGATCTTTTCCAGGGGCATTGTAGAACTGTTCTTAGATCAGATGAATTCAGGGTCTAGTTCAGTAAAAATACAGTCAAAGGACATCTTGTGGATTCTCTTTACCTCTTTACTCATTAAGTCTTTTCTATTTTGTATTAAAATATTGTACAGAATATTTATAGAAACATTGAAGTGACTTGAAGATTAAATGTGAATACTACTATTGGTAATACTGTATAATGGCTTGTCCCTTCCCGCACACATATAGCTGTACACATACATATCAAAGTAATAGTTTAATTAACATTTGTTGGTAGTGGTATTAAGAAAGAGCTAATTTAAATTAACCTTGTATGTGAAAGACATAAATTTTGCTCAGTGAAGTATGTAGATTTAATAAATGTTAATTAAGTATGTTATGACCTTTTTCTGGGCATCTTACATAAAATGCAGTATTAAAAATAATTCACTTCCTGTAGGGTAAATATTTATAATACTTCAACATATTCCAAATCAATTAAAAACAGCAGATGCAATCAACATTCCATAGAACTTTGTTATTAAGTTCTATAGAATATTGATTGCATCTGATAAGTAAAGCTAGTATATTAAAATATACTAGATATAGACAGATGCCTATTAATAATAATAGGGACTCTGTTATTAATAGGCATCTGTCTATATCTGGTATATTTTAATGTAGTAGTTTTAATGTACTGCTTACTATAGAGCTCTCAGAGCTGAAGAAGCTTCTTGGATGAGAAGCGAAACATCTTCAAAGAAAAAACAGAATGCCCAGTTGCCTCTTGAAAAAGCACCTCTGAAACAGACTTTTTTCTAAGCATATATTAATGATATCATCACACTTATTGATCTTTGATCTCTGAATGTCCCAACCACTTTTTATTTACTTTCTCAGTACATTCCCACTTATCAGATCATTATTTAAATAATCAGAATTATTTTCTTCCTTATATATTAACTTGCATTACATTACATTAATTCAGGATATTGCAGAATTCTTCCCAAATCTGATCTTTGGTTCTTCATTATCATAATTCACTAGAACATGAAACTAGCAGTGAAGTGTGGATTCCAACTTTCATATCCATCCAAAATCTAGATGATATCAATTCATACTTTCTGAACTTAGCTTCTATACCTTTTTCTTTTCTCTTTCCCTTTTCTCTTTTCAACTTCACTCTACAATCAGATTACTTTCATTCAATCTTATTATAACTTTTCCCCCTTGACTTGCTTCACAACCTATTTCTCATTTTTCATTAATTAATTAATTCATAGTGTTTACCATTTACTTTTTTTTACATTCCAAGTTGCAAATGGGCCCACATATATTGATTGCTTTGCTCATCATGACATAGGTCAATTAAGTCATAGCACACAGTGTTTCTAATAAAATTGATAAGATAGGAATATATTATCAGCCTTAACAGGACCAATAATATAGACAATATTCTCTACTAATGATAAGGATAGCACTGGTCAGTGATAGCATAGTTTGACCAATACATTATAAGCACAACAGAAGCTTGGGTTTACCTCAAGCATTCTAATATTATTCTATGCAAGCTAGGATCGCTAATTGAGAAAATTAACATAGTGTCCAACTTGAAGGTAATGTATATGGAGAAAATTGTGAAGTAAAGCAAAAAGAATAAACATGGATAATATCACCTTATTTTTTAAAAGTTCTGAAGAATTAAAGCTTTTAATTAAATTAAAGGTACAGGATTGAATATTTCTTTAAGATGTTGAACCCACAACATAATACTGCATCAAACTGCAAATTTTCTATGTTCTGTTGATAAGGAAGGGACCGAATGGGGTACTGATAGCTAGAAGGAAATACAAGATTGAGAGGGTCTTGGATAAGGTAGACTCACTATAATACTTTGATAGAATACTCATTCTTACTGGGACTTGTAGAAGTTTCACAGCTAACTACATGCTCATGGCAGGTGGTAGAATTATTCAAACAAATATTGAAACATGTGTGAATCAACTATGTCTAGCCAGGAACAGGAGCATATGCAGCATGCTGCAATTCTAAATATTTCAACTGCTGTGATGAGATATATTTATGTCAAGATTGCAATGTGGGAAAAATTCTATCAAAGGTACATAACACTCCCTAAAAATCTACATGCTGTTGTGTCTTTTTTTAAATTAAATATTAACCCATGGTGCACAGTATATGAACACATGCTAAGAAATCTTGCACATTTTTCCTCTAAATGTTCAAGGTAAAAGTAAAACAAACAGAAATGAATTAAAGATAGAAGAAGATATATTATTCTGTTTTGATCTCAGGATTTTTTTTTGTTGCCGCTTACTGCTAAAGGTTCCTTAAACAATATTTCATACAAGGTTACTTATGAAACATACTGACATTTAAAAATCACCATGCTTTGCTTTTGCAGCAGTGTAATTTTTTTTCAACATAAGATTAAATTGCAAAATAAATGAATTACTTAGAGTGGCATGGCCCCCATTTTACCACACTTCTCTTGAAAATTGCTTATTAATATGAAAAAAGAAGTTGGAAAATAGCCTGTTTTACTTTATGCATAGCCTTTCGAGGTCTTAGTGCCTGAAGACCTGGAGTTCCTGCACATTTTAGATTGTGTTGGCAAGTGGGTACACTGACCTTTTTGACCTGCATCTCAAGGCTATTATTAATCGCTAAGTAACCTGGTAAAGCCAAACAAATTTGTTTCCATTGAAAGGATCTCTATCTGTGTCTGAGAATTTGTGCCGTACCAAATCAACCTCATTAACTGTGTCCACTTTTGACAAAGAACTAGGAGTTGGAGAGACTGGTGACCTTTCTTTGTCCTTAAAGAGCACAGCTCAGCCCTAAAATGTGAATAAAATGAGCACTTTTGCAACAATATTATTAAATATAAAACATTCCCAGGTTTTTAAACAATTACACCTGTCAACACTGGTGCACGTATCTCTTGTTTAATAATTTTCATTTTTTATTGCTGATTAATCTTCGATCACTTTGACTAGCTAATAAAAAGCATACAAAAGTATAGCTATACATATTTCGCAGACACACTATTTTTGTATTATGCTATTCTTCATAGATTTTCCAAGTGCTCTTTATTAACTGTGAAATGTTACACTATCCCAAAGGACGTACTTAATAATACACACACAGAAAATGTTATGTATAACGAACATAACTCTAACTCTGATTATATTTGAGAATTGAGGGCTTTTCTTCAAATATAGAATATGGATAGTTCTTATAATGTATTCAACAGTTTTCTGCTTGGAAATCTGATGATAATCCAAAGCCTTTTCTCTTTATATTGATTTTAATTTTTTAAATTCATAGTATAGGAAGAAGAACAATATGTATGTTCCCACATGGACATACATACAACATACAAAACATATTTAAACTATTCTAAAGTATCATGAACTCTTAATCACAATTTCTCATTGATAAATGATTAAAAAGCATATTATTCCTCCATTCCACCTCACCCCAGAGCAATATAAAGCTTGAATTCTGCCAAGGCAATCTACTAAAATAAATGATAGTTTTTACTTTTGGATATCATTGGAATGTACAAATCCAAAGTATTTTATTTATTTAGGAAATTTATATGGTTGTGTATGGGCAATATATAAATAAACAACAACAACATCCATAGTAAAAAGCCCATATCAGGAACCCAAATTTTTCTGATAGAAATTACAATCAATATGGGCCCCATGCCCCCCAAAAGAACCAAATTTTAGTGCCTTTCTGAAAACTAGCAGGATGAGGACTAGCCATGTATTGGTGGGGGAAAGGGGTATCATTCTAGAGAGAAGATGATGCAATGAAAAAGGCTCACTTACTGTGTCCTATCACTAACATTGTTCCAAGAAAGGGACTCAAAGCACATCCGTCATGCTAAAGCATGTGGAGAAAACAAGTGCTGTTGGGGTAAATTAGCAGAACAAAAATCTGTAAATATAAATTTACTACATCATACTTCCTCAGTCTGGTTCGTCCAGATGCACTGGACTTCATTTCTTTTTATCTCCTAGCTGTAGAAGCTACTGGTCATACTAACAGCGAAGGAAAGGAAATAAACAGCTGGTTGAAAAATAAAGTAATATATAGATTTAGTTACAGAATGGACACATTGCTAGAATAGATATTACAGAAATGTGAGGGATTCTCTTTTTCTATAAGGGTTCTAGACAATAGGGATTTTATATGTTCACATA